ACATCATTAGTTTTAGATGAAGTGTTCCATGATTCATTGTTCGTGCACAACACCCAGTGCTCCATGCAGAACGTGCCCTCCTCAATACCCACCACGAGGCCAACCCATCCTCCCACCCAAAAGATTACGTTTCTTACTCTGCCTGCCGATAGGGTAATATCTACTCCTCTGCCATCTTTAAATATTTTTACAAAAAAAAAGAAACCTCATAGAGATCTATCTGACTTACATAACTGAATTAGCGACACAAAAAAGGTAGTCTGTTCTAACCAATAGGAAAAACCTTTTTTCCCCCACCATAAAAACTCACGTCTTCCCTGGAAGCAAAAACTCTTTAGACTCCAAGTAACTGATAGTACTCTTGTAGTTGGATAGGATCAGGTATAGGATTCTGGTATTTTATATTTCAAGCCCCAAATAAGTAGGAACCAATTTATATACTCTATAGACTATTAAAATACAATTAAGCCAGCCAGCACTCAGGTGCAAATCATTCCCCATTCAATTCAGTGAGATATTAAAGGGAGCCCTTTCTAGTAGGATACTAAAATAAGACAATCCCCACGTCCTGCGAGGATGGAGGGCACAGAGTGAGATCACATTCAATCCCTCTCAAACCCTCCAATACCTTCCCATTTCACTTACCGCTCTAAGGTCTCGACTTTGGAGGGTAGCAGAACGTGCCACCCCAAAACATGCTTTAATATATTGATTATGTTGAGCTGTAGGCACTCAAAAAACAGCAAATATGGGTACAGGCTTTCTTTGAACTCTCCTCATCTGCCTAAAGAAAGAGCCTCCAAAAGGAACTGAACTGTTATAAATCACCTCTGGGAGTCTCATCAGACAGGGAAGATCGGCTCTTGTCATAAGAAAGGAGACCAGACACCAACGGTATGTCACAAGCTATCCTATCTCCCATCTATTCTTCTACGGGTCTGCTCATCCTTCCATAAAATCATTTACTCTCCTGTAAGAGGCCTCCATTCCTCCTCCCCTTTCCCTATTTAGATAGTATATAAAGCCTAAATTCTAAGCCAGCCTAGGGAATTACTCACTCTCCCCTGGGCTTCCTTCATGTATACATGAGGAACATGTGTGAATAAACTTCTGATTGCTTTTTCTTCTTATTAATCTTTATTACAGGGGGTCTCAACTGAGAACACAGGAGAGTGAAGGGAAAAGTATTTTTCATCCCCTACAACTTAAATGTTACCTTTTCAGCCTTCCCCGGCAACTCCATCTGTAATTTTACAGATATACATATACGTATATATATGTGTGTGTGTTACATATAAATAACCGTTATAATATTAAATTGCAAGCCAGCCCCCCACCTCCAGCCCATACTTCTATACCTTCCGCTCCTTTACATTTCTATTTTCTAATATCAGATGGCTAAGACGTAAGGGTTCTTTTGGGGGGTAATAAAAATATTCTAACATTTGTTGTGGCAATGAACACACTTCTGTGAATATCCTAAAAGTCCCTGAATTATACCTTCTTTTTTTTTTTTTTTTTGAGAGAGCATGAGCATGGGGGTGGGAGGGGAGAGGGAGAAAGAGAATCTTAAGCAGGTTATATGCCCAGCACAGAGCCCAATGCAGGGCTCAATCTCAGAACCCTGAGATCATAACCTGAGCCAAAATCAAGAGTCAGACCCTTAACCAACTGAGCCACCCAGGCACCTCTGAACTGTACACTTTATTTTTATTTTTTTAAAGATTTTATTTATTTATTTGACAGAGAGAGACACAGCGAGAGAGGGAACACAAGCAGGGGGAGGGGAGAGGGAGAAGCAGGCTTCCCGCTGAGCAGGGAGCCCAATGTGGGGCTCCACCCTAGGACCCTGGGATCATGACCTGAGCTGAAGGCAAACACTTAATGACTGAGCCACCCAGGCACCCCTGAACTGTACACTTTAAATGGGTAAATTGTACGGCATGTGAATTATAGCTCAATAAAAACTGTTTTTAAAAAGAATTCCTACTTCTCTCTCACCCACTAGAAAGCTCCACGAATGCACGAACATCTCTCTGTTTGTTCAACAAAACACCCTCCAAACAGTGCCTGGAATAGACACTCAAATATAGACCGAAGGGAGGGAGGGAAGGAGGGGCCAGAGACGCAACTGCCAAGAAAGAAATTCCTAGAGATCACCCAGCTCACAGGGCCTCACACATGCAAATTACACATAAGGGGGCCACTCAGGACACTGAGCTGCCTTTTTGCATCCTCAAATCAGCTTCTTTAAGGCCTTTAGTGGAATCCTTTAAAATCAGATCCTACTTTTTCCTTCAATGGCTTTTTTTTTTTTTTCTTTTTGAGGGCAATTTGGGGGCAGAGGGAGAGAGAGAATCTCAAGCAGAACCCCCTCCTGCCCCTGTGCTGAGAGCAGAGCCCGACACTGGGCTTGATCTCAGGTCATTGAGTCGGATGCTCAACTAAGCCACCCAGGCACCACCCTTCAATGGCTTCTAATCACACCAAGAACAGAACCTGCGCTCCTGCACAGCCTCCCAGAATCGACTCCCTGACTACTGCAGATACTCCTACTTCCACTCCCTCCCTGCAGCCCTGGCACCCACCGCACCCCTTCCCACCACGTGGCCTTGGCAATGGCCATCAGCTGATCGTCCCTCCTCACCAGTCAGGCCTCAGGGAGCCACCCAGCCCTCCATCACCTCCCCCTTTCGCTGCCTTCTCGAGCACTTACTTTGCGGTTTACACGTGTATTATCTACACCCCCTCCAAAATTAAGTCACACAAGAACAGGGACTTATCTGTCTTGTTCACTGCTGTATCCCTCAGGTTTAGAAGGGGGCTGGCACAGAGTCTGTGCTATTTATAGAATAAAGACAAGAAAGCTTCAAGTTTGGGAGACAATTCAGGGAGAGAAAATGCTAAAAGGACTGAGCAATACTCCTCAGCACTGCACCTTATCAGTTATACAATCCTCTATCTATCCACGAAGTTCCTTGAAAATAGGTGGGCTGTATTTGTCTGCACAGCACCAACATCTGACATTTGCTAAACGAACAGGTGTTTTAATTTTTGCTGAATCTGTGGTATTCATCTTCATAGAATCCTTCTCCAATATCTGTTAGTTTATGATTAAAAATATATACACATAGTTGATGTTATAAATATGTATCATATAAATACGTGTTCAAATCAAAGGTCACACCTCTCCTTTTATTTTTATTTCTTTACATGTTTTTTTAAAGATTTTGTTTATTTATTCATGAGGACAGAGAGAGAGAAAGAAAGAAGCAGGCTTCCCGCTGAGCAGAGAGCCTGATGTGGGGCTCGATCCCAGGACCCTGGGATCATGACCTGAGCTAAAGGCAGACACTTAACCGACTGAACCAAGGTGCCGCTCTCTTTTGCTTTAAACAAATTTAGTGAAATTTTGAATGCTTAATGATCCTCTGACAGGAGGATTTTAGGCCTTTTGGGGATTAACAAGGCAGCACAGAATGCTCAGTGCCAACGTTTTAACAATAGATAAAAGGCTATAAGGTAATCCTCACAATTTACTGATTCAGAAGCCAAGCAAAACGAGACTGGCAAAGATTTCTCATTTCCCTTTCCTCAAACCTGGATAATACCTGCAGAGAAACTGTGATATTTTAGTTTTACTTATAACTGAAACAGGTTCAAGGTAATTTACAGTTTTGAGAAAAACACAGGGCTATACACCTCTTTCCCCATTTGGACTACTTTGGGGAAGAGCACGCACGTAGGTTAGGGCCAAAACCCAGCACTGTGCATAGGAGCATGGGTGTAACTGAGGATCTTCGAGGACAACTGTTGATGGCCCTGCCCCTCACACTCGCCACAGGAATGGGGATATTTTAGGGCTGGGTCAGAGAAACAGTAACAGAGGGCAAAGACTGTCTTCTATTTAACTTTATAAGCCCGCATCTTTGTACATTAAAACACACGGATGCCGGCTGAATTGAAAGAGGAAATCGAGGCCCAGAGAAATAAGGGGATTATGGCTACGTCCAGGGTCATACAGCTTGTCAGCCACAACCTGGGATTAGACTCAAATCCCCTGTAAACTTTCCCCTGCTTCTCCTTTCCTTTCCCCTCCTTCTCCCCACAACTCCCCTTTTGTCTTCTTTCTCTTCTGATTGGCTTTGAAACCTTTCCCTCAGCTCCTGGCCGGCTCAGTCAGTAGAGCCTGCAACTTTAAAAAAAAAAGAAAGACTTGAGAGAGAGAGAGAGCAGGAGCAAGCACGTGTGCCTGAGGGGGGCAGGGAGAGGGAGAGAACCTTCAGCAGACTCCCCGCTCAGGGAGTGCAGAGCCCGAGGTGGGGCTCAACCCCAGGACCCTGAGATCATGACCTGAACTGAAATCAAGAGTTGGACACTTAACCGACTGAGCCACCCAGGTGCCCTGAGCCTGTGACTCTCGATCTCAGGGTTGTGAGTTTGAGGCCCACGTTGAGGGTGGAGCCTACTTAAAATAAAGAAATAAATAAAAATAAAACTTTTTCCTCCTGTCTGCCCAATGCTGGGTATCAGTTAGGGCTGCAAAAAGGTTGGAAATCTCTAAACTACATCAACTCAAAATACATTTTCAAATAAAAAGGAACGTTGCCAACTTCTTACTCGTTGACTTCCAGGTCCTGGTCATCAGAAGACTCATCTTCTCCTAGGACGTTTTCAGAATCTGGCTGCCGAATGAGAAAGAAAAGAACTGTCCCCACAAGGCTAATCACTGTCAGGGCAATAAACACTGTTCTTCGGTCACTCTCTAGAGAAAAAAAGAAGAAAGCTGATAGCACTGGCCATGCAAACAATTCAAGTTGGTGTTATGTTCAGAGGTTGTTGAAATCATCCAAACATTTCCTTGTTAAATGTTTACTTTATAAATTAGTGAAAATCTCAAACAAGAAACTCAATGGAATACCTCCACCTTTGTCTTTCAGTTAAAGAAATACTAATAAGCCAAAAGAAAAATGGCACAAGAAATTAATCATATTCTTTTAACCAAAGAAGCGTACAGACAAAACAAGGGTTCAAAAGTCTAACAAGTGACTAGTATGCTCATACACAGCATAACCTTCTCCTATACCTTGAGCTGCTTAAAGCATAGTCATAAACTAAAATCCTAGCTTAATAATATAATATAAGGAAAAAAATTACTACAGACGAAAATCTGAGAGGACTTAAGGCAGCAAGGTTCATTAGAACAATCTGAACAGAGCAATAATGGATATTCTGTGAAACTATTATTATCCTTCGAACATGTGTGAATAAAGCAAAGTGAATAACACAAACCTGATATTTGAGTTTTCCCCTGCCAAGCAAAATATATGTAGAGATTTCCAAAGAACAAGCTGGGGGAAGAAAAGGGAGGACAAGATGTTGAGGATTTATTTCCATATTTACAGTTTGTAGAGCAGTTTTTCCATTATTTGTTAAAAAGTGAAAAAGATTTTTTAAGCATATGTAATTTTAAAAGTATCTACCTGCCCTAGATCATTTAAAAGTATCGACTCCACCCTGACTCTTTCTGAAAAACTGACCCAGATGGAATTTAGTCTCCTTCCACGTGACAGTGACCTGATTCCGCCTGAACCACCCTTCAAAGACTTGACTCTCTTTGAACCATGTGATTTATTGGGACTCTGGAAATGACTACTTGGAAACAAGCTTATGCTACTTCTCAAATTCTGTATTTTAAAGAATCTATGGGGGAAAAAAAAATTCATGATTCAGATACCTGCATCTAATCAGATACTTTAGCATACTTTCCCAGAGAAGGAATCATTCGCCTACACTCTGGTTTCTTAATATACACCCCCTTACAACTAAACATCTGCATTTATGAAGACTTATCAACACCACAATTTTAGGTAATATCCACGAGGGTAAATCCTCAGGACAGATTCCACGACAGAATGACCATTCTTGCTTTTTTACTTAGGAAATATAGAACATGTTGTATCATTCAGCCCTGATATAATTAGTCTCACTTTAATTTTTTTTTTTTTTAAAGTTCACTTATTTTTAAGTAATCTCTACACCCAACATGTGGCTCGAACTCACGACCTTGAGATCAAGAGTCACATGCTCCCCTGAGCCAGCCAGGCGCCTCTCACTTTTGAATTTTAATATATTCGTTAATAGCTATCAGTTATTCGTTAATAGCTATCAATATGCAGCTCAGTGGGTAGGATGTGGTCTTTGGAATCCAGATAAGGATGGTTTAAATCAGATAAGTTACTTCACTTTTAAGCCTCTGTTTTCTCATCTGTAGAACACAGATTATACCTTCTGGTCTCATGAGGTGGTGAGGATTACTGAGATTTAGTAATGAAGCCAACAGTCCCTGCCTGAAATACAGCAGATGCTAAATACATTATGGTTAACATGATTTTCTCTTTACTAATCACGAGTTCCAATTAGGCAGGTCCATGCATTTCATGCAATTTTATAAAACGTTAAATCCGTATCATATGCAGCTAGGAACTCAAGTCATGGAACATAGAAGATTGGAATTTTCAACACAACAAAGATCTAAAAAAATGGTGTGACAAAAGAATTAAAGAAAAGACTGAGCTCCAGAAGGATTATTACCTAGATTGTAAGAGTGCCCAGAAAATTCCACTGTTTCTCCCAATAGTATGCTCATCTGAATTTATTGTCAGGCAATTTCCTTGTGCTGTCCAAAGCACTGAAATTCAAACCAAAAGTTTTGTCAAGGGAATGAAATCACTTGGCTTCACACATGAAACACATGATACTCTTAAATAAATCCCAGAAGACAGAGAAAATAAACATCAAGATGCTTACCGGCAGCTGCAATTCCAATGAAAACAGAGGCTGTGTAGAAGGACCATGGGAGAGGCTGGATAAAAACGGCAATGTACATGCTAAAATGTAACAGGTCAACGCATTACGGTCAAACAATACCTCATATAGAATGCCAATTATGCCTTCTAGGAATCGGTTCTGAGAATTCTCTTTTTTTTAAAAGTCAACCTGTAAAAGGACTTCTCCAACACTAGCTAAAGTGTTGGGGGGAAAGAGGACAAATGTGACCTACTCATTTCTTAATTTACTATTCTGAATTTGTAAGATTGGACATTGAACGAGGGTTTGCAATTGGCCTTTGCCAATAGCTCGGCAGGGGCTGGGACTGTCATTCTACAACCCAGAAAAAAAGCTTAGTTATCTCGGTTGAATTCCTGTTAATCAACTTGATATAAAATAAGATTATTTCACGGGAAGTTCAACTCTCATAGAAAGAAAAAAATAGAGATATCTATTTTTACGAATAGTAAGATGAAAGGAAGTATGCACACATGCCACCACATTAAAACAACATGGTATCCCTAGGCATCAAGGAGAGAACCAAATCCCTAAAATACCGCCTGTATTCTATTCAATCCAAGTCGGCATTTTTTTTTTTTTTTTTACGTAATCTCTGCACCCAACGTGGGGCTCGAACCTACAACCCAGAGATCGAATGTCACATGCCTTTCTGACTGAGCCAGCCACGCACCCCCAAATCAGCAATTTCTTGTGAAAAGTTTACTATATGCTTGAAAGGTGCTGAGGGTGTTTGGATTAAATGAAAGAAAATCGCACTACTCACCTGTAAAATAAACCACTTGCAAACATAGAAAGCTGAGGTCCTATAATGGCAACCACTGATGGTGTAATCAAATTTGAAGCAGAGAACACTCCATATATAATTGCCATGCTGTACACATAACACATAAAAGGAAAAAACAAAAATCACTTTGAATCACTGTCTCAAAAGTGCGTTTTTTTCAAATCCACTTAGAGTCTATAGATTTTTTTTGCCATAAACATTCATTTCTTTCGTTGGAATTAACAATAATTCTATCATTAAGCTGAATCCTATAATGAGGTTTTCACTTATACAAAATCTTAAAGTCTCATCAAATTTCCCTTTGAATCAGCTTGCCTTGGACAATATGCTTTTAACGGACTGGTAAATTATAACAGCTAACATATAACATGTAACAGACACTGAGCTAAGCGTTTTATGTATGTTTTCTTTATTAAATCTGACAGCTCTATAAAGATAGTATTGTTATTATTATCCTCACTCTACAGAAAACTGAAACACAGAGGGGTTAAGTTACTTGCCAAAAGTCCAGCTAGATAGCTGGTGAATGGTGGAGCCAGAATCCCATCCCTGGTCATCTCACCCCAGAGGCCCTAGTCAATGAGTCTGCTCTACAAACTTAGTTTACAACTCCTGGCAACTGCATGAAGTTTCACTGTTATAAATGACAAGCACAGAGTTATCACTTCCTTAAACCAGAACTTATTTAACTCAATCTAATGGTCTCTTCTGAACATTATTCAGCTACTATAGACCCAGCCCTAGTACATACGTCTTGTAGCAAAGTATGACTAAAACCATTTTGAGGGTTCTGAATTCATTTACTAGACACTATTTACAAACCCAAAGTAAATTATTCTTTGGCCTTTATGATCCTCTCAAACAGTAAAGGTTCTCTGGAATTGAAAACAAAGCTCTACTAAAAACTGTGGTATTGTTAAACACTTAAAAAATGGACATTTGGGGTGCCTGGGTGGCTCAGTCGGTTAAGCGTCTGCCTTCGGCTCAGGTCATGATCCCAGGGTCCTGGGATCAAGCCCCGCGTCGGGCTCCCTGCTCGGTGGAGAGTCTGCTTCTCCCTCTCCCTCTGCCTGACTCTCTGCCTACTTGTGCTCTCTATCTCTCTGTCAAATAAATAAATAAAATATAATAAATAAATAAAAATTAAAAAAGGACATTAGCACCCATTTATTCTCAAATATCATATATAAGATCAGGTTTAGGATAGGTAATAAAGAACCAAATAAGAGTTGTGGGGAAGGGGGGGATGTTGGTCAGCATCTAATAGTTAACTGCAGAGAAATTAAGAAACCCGTATGTCCTTATATCCATGTGTGCATTACACTCCCAGCTTCAGTCACAATGTACTAGTGACTCAGGAAGGTCTTTTCACTTTATTTTCTCTGTGAAAGTGAGACTAAACACCTTAACAAAAATCTAAAAGCTCCTGATGACAGTATGTTAATCATGAAATTACGACAGGACCGAGTGTTTCAAGAATCATATAAAACACCCTCTGTTTAGGATTGAGAAGATGTAATTATGACGATACTTGAGTGTTTATTAAATGCCAGGCACTGTGCCAAGAGCCTTACACGTCAACGCATTATCTGAGCAAGGAAACTGGGCTCACAGAAGTAACTTGCCTAACGTAACGCAGTGTTAAGTCATGAAACCCAGGATTTCAAACCCAATATTTAATTCTACATGAAACCTAAACTATCATCACCTTTATTCTATTATGTTCTCCCAAACAGACCAGTTACGGAGAAAAAGCAACCACTACTAATTCAATCACAGAATTATTGCCAAAAATTCTGATAAGGTTTAGGTAACTACTGTAATATATCAAGTAAGACCAATCATACGGTACGGTACCTGGTATATCCACTGCCATGAAAATCTGTGCTATTTAAGCTCCTGATGACAGTTTGCTGCGTGGAAGATAAAGCTAATCAATGAAAACACTTCGCAGTCTGCCCCCCCATCCCCACCAAAGTCTGTCTCCGAGAACTGAGAATGAAGCACCCGGTAAAGTAAAATTCAAGATACTCAGTACTTCATATTGAAAGACAACTATGAGACCAAAAAAAGGACTACAAAACGGGACAAGGCAAACCGATGATGGGGCGGGGGCGGGGGGGGGCACATCAACTGTAGCTAGGCCTTGGGGTTCTTTTCTCCTCAATTCTCCCAATACTAATGGAGACTTTAGTACAGACAAGAAATAACAGGTCAACATACAAACCCCAAGTCAGATCAGAGGAATAAACGGTCTTGTTTAACTCCCCATCCCGATACAGTATTAATAAGAAATGTCTGACACACGAAATTAAACCGAGACATAAAAACCGAGGAAGGGTAGGTGGGAAAATACAAGGTGCAACTTAAGCGCGCTGTTAGGCACAATTACTGTTTATTATCGTTTTTGGAATGCGTTATGAGAGGCACTTCAAAGGAGGTAGAACAGATCCCGACTCACCGCCACATTTCCACAAGTTTGAAAGGCGGTGAACATAAACATAAAGGCAACTCCTAAAATAATAATGTTGAAAAGCTTTTTAGATTCCGGGGACATTGTGGCTCAACTCTGGCGGAGGTCAGCAGCAGCCCGGGGCGGTCAGCTCTCCTTGGGGGAACCCACTGACAATCCTGGGGAAGGAAATGAGACGGTGAGGAGAGGAGGCAGATCCAGGAGCAAAGCTGCCAAGCTGTCAACTTCCAGTTCTTGGATCAGAACCGCGGGCCGAGAGTGAGGTTCTCCCCACGGGCAGTTAGGACATTCCCAGGATCCGATCCCAGCAGGGAAAGGCCCGACACCCGGAGAGGTGCCAATAACGTCGCGGCTCCAGGTTGACCGGCCCGCGAGCGGGATTATGGGCCAAGGCCGAGGTGCAGCGGCCGGCGCGGCCCCGCCCGCCTCGCCGGCCCTGACTCACCGCGGGTCAGGCGACCAGGTCATCTGACCGTAGCCTCGGCGCCAGCCGCTCGGCCGGCTGGGAAATGTAGTCCTGTGCAGCCTGAACCACTCAGGCGCGCCGTGTGGGGCTACAAAGCGGAACCCAGCGGAGAAGTCGGGAACTGCGGGAGGGAGCCTGGAGACATCGTTGCGGGGCCTGAGAAGGCTGGAGACCGCGAGGCAAACGGGGGTAGGGGGAGTAGTACCCCCTCTGATAAAGCGGGAACCTTCTGCGGAGGTCCGACCAGAAAAGCTGCCTGGAGGTCGTATACTGGCATGAAAAGAAGGCGGGGCCTGCAAGGGGAGCGCTTCCTGTTCCTCCTGCGGGAGAGCGCCCGTACTGCCTCGCAGCCGGAAAGAGCGTTTCGCGGGCTTTCCAACTGCCCACAAATGCCGCTCCCCCCGCCCAGCAATAGTGACTCCGCGCTTTTCGGCCCGCCCGCCGGGCTCTGCGCAGGCGCGTCGGACAGAGGCGGGGCGCGTGGCCTCGGCGTTGCGGGGCGGGGAGGGGCGAGCCAATCAGGGGATTCATTTCCGGGTGGCGCGGGCGCCATTTTGTGAGGAGGGATATAAACGGGCGCTAGGTCCGGTTGCCCGCCCAGTTGTTTCTTTGGGGGAGTCGAGTGCTGCGGCTTTTCGCTCACGTTTTTCTCCCCACCCCGGCCGGCCTCTCAGCGTTTCCACGCGGAAGCCAACTGCCGGAGGCGCGGCGCGGCGTCGAGCCGGCTTAGTGTGAGGAAACCGCCGCCTCAGCCGAGCGCGCGGGCCCGCCCAGGGCGTTAGTTTGTAGGCGCGCAGTCGCGGCCCCCGGCCGGCTCTCCAGGGCCATGAGTTACGGTCGCCCGCCTCCCGATGTGGAGGGCATGACCTCCCTCAAGGTGGACAACCTGACCTACCGCACCTCGCCCGACACCCTGAGGCGCGTGTTCGAGAAGTACGGGCGCGTCGGCGACGTGTACATCCCGCGGGACCGCTACACCAAGGAGTCCCGCGGCTTCGCCTTCGTCCGCTTCCACGACAAGCGCGACGCCGAGGACGCCATGGACGCCATGGACGGGGCCGTGCTGGATGGCCGCGAGCTGCGGGTACAGATGGCGCGCTACGGCCGCCCCCCGGACTCGCACCACAGCCGCCGGGGCCCGCCGCCCCGGCGCTATGGCGGCGGCGGCTACGGACGCCGGAGCCGCAGGTAAACGGGCC